CATGTAGATTCTAAGTTTAAAAAGAATAGTGGTTTATATTATGTACTAGTAGTCCATGTCTATCTGAAATCCTTTATATATGATAGGAATGTTGGGTGAAAAATTTAAATTTCAAGTACGTTGACTCAGCCAAAAATTATTGAATCAAGTCCTTTTGTTGGCCAAAGGCTGGGATGCTCTCATTGCCCTTCATGTTTGGATACTTTTGCTTTCTCCAACTTGAATTTCTTTGAGCATGAGACTATCCAATGGCCATAGACATCACCACCCTAAAAGAACTAAAAGAGGGTACTCTTGAAGCAAAAACTGGCTTTTTCTGCAACTTTATTTCATCATGAACATATGAAGATAATTACTGATTGATGATTTCAAACTTTATAGTGTTGTGAGTTGGCATGGGGGCTTTAAGCAATAATGCTTCGAAAGGCTATAGTTTATTTAAATCAGATGCTCTTTAAGGAACTGGCTAGAGTAGACAAGGAGTGAAGCGTAGGGCAGGCAGGGAAACACATCAGCTTGGGAGCCATGGAATGCCCAGCTTTGCTGCAATGTGAGATTTGCACCTGCAGCAAACAAACTTTGGGTTCCTCTAGAATACAAATGGAGGAACTGTGTATACAAATAGCACTCAGTCTGGAAATTCCATGCCTTCCCATATTGGTTTTTGTAAACAGAGTCTTAACACCCATATTACATACCCAGCCTGGGCTGCCTATAATCATTCCAGTTCTTTTGGTGAGTAGACAGTAACTGCTTCAGAGGCTAGACTCTTAACTTTAATGCTTATGTGCTTTATTTATGGAGCATAACTGGTCCAAGACAGCTCTTCTTTAAATTAAAAAATACATAATCTGCAATAAAATTTACCGGTTCTCTATGCAACAAGTTCTTTCTCTAGAAACATTCATCTTTGAAATTCCTAACTCAGGATTCTCAAAGGGCCAAGGAGAGTAATGAAGATCTTGATGAAATAGCCAACAACTTTGAAATATCATTTCTTTAGAACAGTGTCAGAACCACTGTGGGTTGTTGTTAAAATGGAGATTGCTGGAGTTCAACCCAGGTCTACGAATCAAAATCTTGTGCTGGTTCAGGAATCTTCCATACATGTAAGTCTCACAAGCACTTTTGTGAATCTCTGCCAGATGCCACCAATTTGTTTTCAGGGACAAACACCATACCTATGCTACTGTTTTGGGTGAGTAATTCTCATAGAGAAATTCATCTAAGTTTGCTTACCTACATTTTTATCTGATTCTAGGGAGATAGATCATTGTCTAAATGATTTATCTAAAACAGAAACAAGGATTTAAACAACATCTTTTGGTCCTTTCTTCCCCATCCCTCCCTCTTTTGCTCTCTTCTTTTTCCCTTCTCTTAAAACTTTCCTGGCCTCAGTTACAAACATATGTGACATACGGAGGAAGATAGAAGGTAAAATGCCAGACAACAATAAAATGTCAAGGTGAGCCAACCTCGTTTTTGGGATTCATGTACAAAGTCTGAGGGGGAAAAATGCATTTACAGGTGGGTTCTCCAGAGGAAGAATGGCACACTGCAAGGCTCTTAGGGAGAGCATAGGAGAGCTGGAAAGCTGAATGCTGAAGAATAAAATAAAGACGTAATTTATGAAAGAGGACAAATGGTAGTGAACTGAAGATACCCAGGGACACAAAATGCAGCCCAGTGTCACTATGCTGGCAAATGTTGTGTGAGGAAGAAAAGGGCTTAAAGAGACTTCTTTGACTTCTAGCTGAGCCAAAGAAGTGAGTACTCACCTACTTATTACCAAAAACATGGGATCGCAAAGTTTTAGCCAATATACCTCAATTCTGACTATCCCCAATCCTAAAAGTGACAGGAAACATACTCAGATAACTTTCTAATTTTCATAAAAATCCTTATCAGCTGGGTGTGGTGGCTCACACCTGTAATCCCAGCACTTTGGGAGGCCAAGGCAGATGGATTGCCTGAGTTCAGGAGTTCAAGACCATCATGGACCACAAGGTGAAACCCCGTCTCTATTAAAAATACAAAAAATTAGCCGGGTGGTGGTGGTGGGTACCTTTGATCCCAGCTACCCTGAAGGCTGAGGCAAGAGAGTTGCTTGAACCCTTGAGGAGGAGGGGACGAAGCCTACCGTGAGCCGAGATCATGCCATTGCATTCCAGCCTGGGCAACAGAGCGAGAGTTCATCTCAAAAGAAAAAAAAAAATCCTTATCATAGTTTGTGTTAAACTTAAGTTCCCTTTTCATAATTCATTTAGACCTGACTAAATATGTCTTCAAGAAATCAAATGTTTTGTTCTAAACCTATCTTTAGTGGTGGCAAAGCGAGGTATGATTTGGTGATCCATAGGCCCCTTCTCATCTGTGATTCCCTAATCCAGCTACAGAGCTTTTGTTCATTTTTATCAAAAGAACCATTCCCTTGGCTTAAGACTGAATGCTTTAAAAAGTCCAAAATCATAAGCCCACCAAAACCCATTTCACAGCAAGGTGCTCAGTGAAAGCAGCTAGAAAATCATGGCCCAGGGACTTTGGGCTGGAGAGACACGATGCACAGATGTGGATGTGAACTGTCTGAGGCTGGAAGCCCTGGCATTGTGTTGCAGTTGAGGAGGGGCTGCATTCAGGAAGAGCATTACCAGACATCACAGGAAAGTAAAAGACAGCATCGAGTGAGGAAACTTCAAAGACAACATTTTCTTGCTTCATAGTAATTCCCAAGGCTAAGTCTGATTATGGCATTAGTGGAAGGAGTAACATAGGTGGAAAAACTGAGGCAGGGAGAAGTTGGATACTTCTTTAATATGATGCATGGACATAGCCAATACTAAGAGACAGACCATGCGTCAGGCAGTCATTTAACCTTCAGGCAGCTATTATTTCCTCTAAATTAAACCAACACCAAGGGATTATTTGGGGGAAATGATAGACTGATTTCCTAATTTTTCAAGGCTAAATAAAAATAGAATCAACCTCATTTTCCTGTCAATGAGAGAACAATATTCATGTACTCTTTTTCTTTTGCAGGATTAGTTCTAATCATTCATGTCTGTAAGAACTACATTTCCTGGAGAAAGACATTGCGAAAGTTGAAGTTAGAGTTACACGTTTTCAAGCTGATCGTAAAATCTTTTTCTAAGTGGAAAATAGTTTACATAATGTGGTCTTACCTTCTTCTCACCTATCCTGTCCCTCCAGTGTCTGGCTTCTGGTTGTGTAGCAAGGACATTAGGGATGGGGGAGCAAAACAGTTATAAAATGTTGAGCCCTACAAATGGTAGATTTGGCTTCTGCGATCCTGCTAATTGGGTGGGTTCCTGCTTTCTCCCTCACTCATATGTTCCTAAGGGCTTCACTGCACACATGGAGACATGTTCAGGGATTGATTCTAAAGTAAGGGACCAATGCTCACAAACTTGTGTGAATATCAGCCTTGTTATTTAGATCTGGGATTCAATTTTGTCAGTGTGCTTTGGTGTAAGATTAGAAGTAAACAGGGCCTTTGTGAACAGGAAAGAGTGTATTATGTCCACATGGAATAAAATTTGTGTTAAAAAACACAAACCCTGTGTAGTCCAGCAAACAAAAATAATAAAAGCCCAAATATAAAACTGCAGGTCAGATTTAGCCTTTGGGATGGCAGTTTATGTCTTCTGTTTTAAAATATTTGATATTCATAAATGCCATTCCAAACTCAAACTGCAAACCAAGTATGAATTTGGGGATATTTTGGGTCATCTACCTTTCCTGCAGTACTCTTATCATTAAACTAGTAATTGAAAGGCAAGTGAACAGGAGCCATCCATTTCCTTGTCTTTCAAAATGGCACATAGATGAAGATCAAACACTGAAATTCACCAAGTATATATAGTATTAATTTGATTATGTATAGCTAGATGTTTCTTAACATAATATTCTAAAGTGATACTAGCAAAAGAAAATGATTTTCAAAAATATTCTGAGTAGCACAAGAATGGAAACAATATAATATCACACTACTGGGAAGCAGCATCTGTGTAATATTATTGTTGCTGTTATTAACAGTATTATTTCCTAATCTGTAGCAACATTAGTATATAGTAAGAACTTAATTCATGTTTGTTGAATTAAAAAATCAAAGCCATTCTATAATTCTCCATCTTCTATAGCATATTTCAAACAAAGTCCTGAGTGGAAATGTCAGCATAATCAATAACTAACCTGCCAGCATAGCAGTGTCACAGAAATCTGAATCTTAAATTAAGACATAAAGAAAAATACCTCTACTCCCCAAGTCCCATAGATAGAAAACAACTCAGTGATTCTGTAATTTGCTCATGTCTCATTGAAATAATACATTGTAGAACTGAAACATGTACTAAGAGGACGAATGTGCAGTAAATTCAAACCAGTTAAACCTTAATAGTGTAAATGAAACCTTTAAATTGTGTGAGCCACTAGCAGCCTTGCAACTCTTTACATGTGCAAAAAATTGAATGAAGACATATGGTCACCATCAACTTGGTTATTTAATTCTGAGATGACACACGTATTAATCTAACTGAAAAGGCGAAGCTACTATATAGCTGGTTGTAATTAGCCCACCACAAATTTCTATAACCACTTCAGTCTAAACCAAAAGCCAAAATGGCATTTCATGATTACACCATCCCACCCAGATTTGCATTTCTTGATGAATTCCCAAGGTTAGGCTATGAGCCATACTGTAAAACCAACCCTCAATTACACCTTTTTAGAGGGGAAGATTAGTGGCAGGTGGTGCCTGCTATAAAAGCCTCATTAAAACACCTTCTGGTGGAGTTTCACAAAAGGAAGCCACCAGATGGAGACCCATCTCCACATGGTAGTCTTACCTCAAATGAGAGTTTCACCTGACACTTTGGGGACAGACCATTTTTTCTCACCTAACAAGCCACTGAGGTTCAAAAGACGATCTATTAGGATTAATCGTACTTGATCACTAATCCATTGTAATGCCATATGCTGAAAGCGTTGTTCACTGTTAAGCCTGGAGCCAGGTAGAGCCCCTCTGGTAATGTAAACCCTCCCATTTTCCTGCAGCTAATCTAATTTCACCTCCTCCCAGACCTCGCATGCCAGGAATGATGCTGAACTCTTCCTACACTGCCTCTGATGCATTTTTGAATGGTAGCAAATCTGATCTCAAAGGTAATGATGCTGAAACCTGCTGACTAATTGGAAAATGATTTTCCTGGTGCTGCTTGTTTAGTGGGGCGAATGGATAAAAGGTATTCATTCTATTGTGCACAAATTCAAAGACTTAGCCCTGGCCTTCTTATCTGCACAGCTTGATATTACTCATCTCCTCCTCTTCTCTCCTTCTCTAAATACATGTTTGTTGAATCTGTGATTTACTGAATTGGAACAATCGGCCAGCTGGGCAGCGAGAGTGAAATTTATGTCACATAGAGGAAATTCTGTCACCTTATGCAGTCCCTGAAATGACAAGTATTTTTTCCAGTGGTTTGCCTTTGGTATAGGTCCAAACCCTTAAGTGCCAAACAGTGTAACTCACCACACACACGCGTGCACATACCCACATACAGTTTTCTTATGTGTTTTGTGTTATGCTGCTTACAAAGCACCACCCACTAAGCTACTTTCTTGCTCAAGGCCCATGTTTCTGAGTTGCACACATAAAGATAATCATACACACAGGCCACATGAGCCCCACACATTTTGCTCTCGCCCTGAGCTCCAATATGAAGACTTAAATGGAATAAATTTCAAATTCCCTGCAATATTTTATGGTCACTTGGTTCCAGCTCTAAACAGACTGCTAGAGGGAATAGAGAAGATAATTCATCTGCAATGTACACTAAACAAATGTCATCAAGATGGCAATAGTTGTCCTAAAGTGACACCACGCCTTAAGCAAATGAGGCCAGGCCCCTGACACATGCTAAATGCTGTGTTTCACACCTTCCTAAAAAGCACTGCTCCAAGTGCCATGGTACTTAAAGCATTACTGTAACTGGAAGATCTAATCAGTGTTTCAAAAATGTGATCCTTATATTGCATAATCACTAGATTGAGGGGAGGTACTTATTACAATGCAGATTCTTAGACCTCAACACAGACTACTGAATCAGAGTCTCCAGAGGTAGAATCTGTGCAATTACATGTTTAACAAATTTTCCAGATGCTTCTGATCCACATTAAATTTTCAAGTTGGCCGGGTATGGTGGCTCACACCTGTAATCCCAGCACTTTGGGAGGCCAAGGTTGGCAGATAGCTTGAGCCCAGAAGTTCAAGATTAGCCCAGACAACATGGCAAAACCCCATCTCTACAAAACATATAAAAAATAAGCGGGGCATGGTAGTGTGTGATTCCAGTTTCAACTATTCAGGGGGCTAAGACGGGAGTTAGAGGCTGCAGTGAGCCGTGATTGTGCCACTGTGCTCCAGCCTGGGCAAGAGAGTGAGACCCTGTCTCAAAAATAGAGAAAAAAGAAAAACAAAAAGGTGTAAAGTCCAATGAAAAGAACACAGGATCCCAATTCCCTTGATTGGTTGGGCCAGGGCTCTGAGACCACTGTACTCCTCTTTCCTCATGCAGAAAGCCCTGTGACACTGAGGTCAGGCAAGACAATGACACTGGCTGGGCAAGGAAGGGGATGAAAAACACCCCCATTGGCTTTCTGGATCAAATTTGTAACGTGCAAGGTTGCTATGAGTGTTCTGTGTTATCCAAACAGTATATCTAATATGTCCCATACTGTACGTGTTTACAAACCCTTAAAAAATCTAAAGTTTCCAATGACACTTAGTAAATAAATCACTCTAGCTTTGTTCTTACAGTTTATGTAGTCACCAGACCCCAGAGATGAAAATATAGCCCCAGCATTCTGCAGCTGGAAGAGTTTATTTTGTCATACATGAAAACTGCTAGATTTGGCCAAGCAAGAGGGAATCTCTTAAGATTTTTATTTTTACCAAAAAGAAAAAAAAAAAAAAAAAAACCACTCAGTAGTCAATATCAGTCAATCAGTTAAAATGAAGCAGGGAGGCCTCACTTTTCTTATAATTGCACACAGAGCATATTCCTTCTCTATTTGATACAATTTCTGAAAAAGCTTGGATGATGCCTAGTTTCATTAGTCTCCCCTTTTTGTTCATAAGGGCAACTTTAACATACTAAGTCAGGTAAGATGTCAACATTTTCTTGTAAGTTTTGGTAATCAAACTTCTGAGAGGTAGATCCTAGCTCACCTTCAGATGGTGGAAACCCACCTCATCTCCCTCTGCCCCTTAACCCACCTCCACTCAGCATCCATGGCATGAGTGCTTTGATAAAAAAGAAAGGAACCCAGGAGGAAGGAGTGTCCTGCACTGAAGCCTGGACTCAGAAGAGACAAGTCAAGGAGAGATCAGCCAGGATGGGTCTCCTGCAGGCTGGCTCTGGGGCCTAAATCTAACCATCAAGAACCATAGATCCTCTCTCTTTGTGTGCAGGAGAGAATTGACCCTGGCCTGATGAAGAAAATGGGAATCAGTCCTTTGGAAGGATCAGGAAGCAGCTGATTGGGCAGGGTAGCAATCTTTCTGCATTGAAGTCCCCATTTTCCTTGGGACATGGCGGGGCCAGCAAGGGGTTAGAGGATGATTCCCAGGTGTGTGGCTCTCCAGAGCAGCGAGAGGCATCAGAGTGGCCTCCTCCTTCTTATTTGTGAGTTACAACCTAGGAGAAGGGCCTGAGGCTGACCAGTGAGAACAATCTGATCACTAGTATCAGGCTCTCAGATCCTATTTCTACCTGGAGGCTGGTAAGGCCTAAAGATTTAACTTCATCTTTAAAAGCTAAAACTATTTAAATTTGTCCTTGTTCTTTCTGTCTGTTGTTGTTGTGTTGTTCTGCTTTGGTTTTTGATGGTGTGTTCTTCCTCTCCCTATCTCCTTTTCTCCACTGCTGCCCTGCTACTAGTGGAAGAGAAAATTAACTGTGCCATGATGCTTTTCAGGAAATATGACTCCCAGTGACTCCCAGGAAGCCATAGGGCTATGGAGGGGGAGCTCTGAATTGAGTTTGTGGCATAAGGTATACAAATGATTCTGAATTTTTTCTTTACTTTTCGTTCGTATTGTTTCTTTGATAGTAACATCTATTGCTGCAAAATACTACACATCCCACAAATCTCAGGGCACAGTTGAAAGCTTTCGTATAAAACAGAGTGTTCTGCTTTGATAAGAAGCAAGACAAATTCTTACAAGGCAGCATTTACTTTTGTCTTTATCTACTATTTGTGGAATGTTGTCTTAACTCTAAATTTTCCTCGCCATGTTTCCTTCAAACATGCTTTTTCTTGTCCTTAGTTGTTATTTCTTCATTTTATCAAAATGGCTTCCCAGACTCTTCCTGGTTCTCTCCGGAGGATTCTGGGTATTCCTCCATTTAAAATTTCCTGTTGTGGCTGCAGGTTGGTCACCATCCTCAGGAAATATTCGTTTTCCTCTTGACATTCTTATGTTTTTATTTACCATCCTCCAAATAGTTTCCACTCTTAAAGTCAGAATTTCTGTGTTTTCTAAGAACATAAAATATCTAAGTTTTATTCATGTGTAGCTGTTTGCTGTTCACATTTTTGTGGATCAGAGAAAAGTGAACATGCATGGCCCAGTCTTCAGCTTTGCGTGTGCTAATATGTGGAAAAAGCTCTCAGTTCAAGAGGAAAGAGAGATGGCCATGATATCCAAAGAGCAAACCCCCAATTTTTTCCACACCCCTTAGTCAATTTAGTTATCAAAATAAAACATTTTTTCTTCTTCTGCAAAGCATTTACTTGTAGAGCTTTTATCTTCTCTGGTTACCTCAGATTTTCCCCAAAGAAGAAATCTAAGCCCAATTAGGGTGAGTGAAGGGAGGGAGGGGTAGAGTTAGGTGCCAGAATCCCCAGCGACTGCTCTCACTGGAACAGACCACAAGATTCTCTCAACCACCCCATTTTTTTCCCATTTAACTAATAGAAGGCTGGTAGTGACCTTTGCAGGCCAGTGGGCAGGAGCTGAGAAATACTACCCTAAATGAGCCAGGATGTATATCTGTTTACTACACAGCATGCTGGCCTGAAGCTAATGACATTAATCCCCCTACTGCTTTTCATTAGGTGACAGACAGGGAGCCACACTTCGGAGGGCATCGACTGCTTCTCCCCATCAGCCAGCTGCGAAGAGGAGTCGCTCCGGGAACAGCGCCGCCCTCCCCTCGTTTGCTTTTCTTCCTCTATTATTCCTGACATGTTCTCTGAACTACAGACTGCATATGTTTAAAAATAATTAAACGCGCTCCAAACAAATAGGCAATGTTTCCACGATCCCTGCAATGAACGTTCTGCGTGTTTTGACAGATTTTTCTGTTCGTTGGATTCATCAAGCAGCCTGGCTCTTTGCTGTCATTCCCGACAACCTTGCAGATAAACCCCCAGGGCAAACTCTCTGGCCTGAGCTCCTTCCTGGGCCCTGATCTTGGGCACAGAGAACTTCCAGCCTGAGAGTCCCCAGACCTTCAGGGGAATCCATGTCTGGGCTCCCAGGACAAAGTGGTTCACAAATGGAGCCATTAGACAAAAGGGAGACTAGCTAAATAAATGTGGGGTTCTGTTTTGAATGGCACTGCTATATTGCACTAAGAAAAGAGACTAGAAGGAAATCCTATGAGAAAACTGAAAGATTACCGAGGCGCATTAGGACCGTTCTCACCCCTCCCCGCTGGCAAATCCTGACCTTCCACATCCCTGCATGTCACCCCCCATTCTTTTTAAAAAATTAAAATCTCTCTACTAAAAAATGAAGATAAAGGAGAAGATATAGTTTATAAAGCTACATAAAATACAATATAACCAAATAAATGAAAGTATGTATAAAGAAAGCTAATTAACGAGAAAATACTGTAAAAAGGTAAGAAGAGACTTGGTGAATTTAGGGCATAAAAAAGATGCTAAAATTAAGAGAAGCCTAATTGATTCCCCAACAGAGATGAAGGTCTTCCTCATACAAAGGATACATGGGATATCATCAACAATGTCCTCTTCAGTATTCATTAAGGAACAAATTCATAGATAAGTGAGAGTGTCTTTATCTCTCAACATAGGCTTACCACATCTTGCAAAAGTGTAACTACTCTGGAGGAATTCAGAGGAGTAAGGAGCGTATGGATGTGTATGTCTGAGTTGTGACAAAGGAAGAGGGTGAGAGAGGAAGGGGAGGAGTGATCAATACGGCTGGATTCTGAACACAGCTCTAATGGTCTGGCTTAATCCAGGGACAACTTTGAGCAACCATAGGAATGGATATTCTTTAAATTCTTGGGAAATATGCTCAACTGCGATTTGAATCAATATTGACAGCAATTAATGTGCAGGGACATTCATTTACCCATTGACTGCTCCAACAGTTGGTGGTGTCCAAGGAAGTCTTAATATCACGTGAATATTAAAGAGCCAAGAACAACCTGCAGGAAGGTTCAAGTTTCTCCTCAGGGAGGGATGTTTTAGTGTGCTGCAAAACTGTTTATCAAAGTACTCAATTCTACACCAGGAATTGGCAAACTGCAGCCTGTGGGTCAAATCAAGCCTGCACTAGTTTTTATGTGGCCTGAGAACCATAGTCTGGGCCTTGTTTTTAATGGCTGAGAAAAAAAACCGAAAGAAGAATAATAGTTTATAATGTGACAATTACTTGAAATTCAATTTCAGGATTCATAAATGAGGTTTTATTGAAACCCAGCCAGGCCAGTTCATTTACATATTGTCCATGGCTGTTCTTGTGCTACAATGGCAGAGACGCAACACAGACTTTATGGCCTGCAAAGCTGAAAATATTTACAATGTGGCCCTTTGCTGAAAGAGTTTGCTGACCTTGGTTCTATACCATAAGCAACAGATCATGACTACAATATTGTTAATACTTTTTCTGATTTCTAAACTTAAAAACAAGCTCCAAATTTTTCAAGTTTTCTAGATGGCTATTTGATAATATGTACCAAATAACATAAAGCTTCTTTGCCTTTTGAGTCATAAAATCCACTTCTAAGGAACTTATCCAATACTGGAAAGTGGGAAACAGCGTAGATACCCAACAACATAGCTAATAATTACATAAATTACGATACAGCTATACAGTGAAATGCTCTACCCATTAAAAGAATGATGAGCTATATGTTACCAGGACAAAAATAGATTAGTGAAAGCTTTCTGGCTGGGTGCTCACGCTTGTAATCCCAGCACTTTGGGAGGCCAAGGTGGGCAGATCACTTGAGGTCAGGAGTTTGAGACCAGCCTGGCCAACGTGGCAAAACCTGGTCTCTACTAAAAATACAAAAATTAGCCGGGCATTGTGGTGGGTACCTGTAGTTCCAGCCACTCAGAAGGCTGAGGCACAAGAACTGCTTGAACCCGGCAGGTAGAGTTGCAGTGAGCCGAGATCACATCACTGCACTCCAGCCTGGACAACAGAGCCAGACCTTGCCTAAACAAAATGAAACCAGACTGGGCTTTCATTGTGCTAACTGAGAAAAACTATGGAATTATATGGATCCTTGAAAGTTTAGATTTACATTTCATGGGCATGGAGATACTTTTTTTTTTTTTTTTTTTTTTTTTAGAAGAAAATGAGTCTGGGAAAGAAATGGATCTGGACTACCTTAGACCATTAGAGCCATGTTTGGGATCTAAATGTATTGATCGCTCCTCCCCTTCCTCCCTCACCCTCCTTGCTTGTGACAACTCAGACATATAACATTCACACACTCCTTACTCCTCTGAATGTCTCCAGAGCAGTTATACTTTTGCAAGATGTGGTAAGCCTATATTGAGAGATAAAGACACTGTCACTTATCTATCAATTTGCTCCTGAATAAATACTGATGAAGATATTGTTGATAACATCCTAATGTATCTTTTGTATGAGGAAGACTTTTGTCTCAGTGGGGAAAACAACAAGGCTTCTCCTAATATGGCAAGTGTTTTATGCCCTAAACTCACCAAGTCTTCCCTATCTTTCTCATAGGAAACAAAAAAAAATGGACAACTCACGGAAAAGAAAATGGAAATAGTTCATAAACACAAAAAAATACACTAACCTATTTTAAAATGAAAGAAGAGAAGTGAAAGAAATGCACAAATTTATTCCTAATTTTGAAATTAAAGCTAAAAGAAAATATTTTTCTTCTTTTAGATTGGGGAAAATCAAAATGTTTGTTAGCATATGATGTTGAAGGAGGTAAAATCAGGGACTATTATTATATGTTGCTGAGGGGATGCAAACTTTATGGAAAGCATTTGCACTATTTATCCAAATTTAAAATCTGCACACTTCAGATATGGGAGTTATACCATATATATATGTGGAATCTTGTAAGTGATTAGTAATTTCATAAAATGTAGACAGTGGCATTGTGTATAATATAAAATGATTGCAAATAGCTTACATGTTAATCATAAGTGTCAGGTCAAATACATTAAGAAATATTCAAACAAATGCAATTTTTTTTTTTTTTGAGATGAAGTCTCATACTGTCTCCCAAGCTGGAGTGCAGTAGTGCAATCCTGGCTCGCTGCAACCTCTGCCTCTTGGGTTCAAGCGATTCTCCTGCCTCAGCCTCCCAAGTAGCTGGGATTACAGGTGCCCACCACCATACCCAGCTAATTTTTTGTATTTTTAGTAGAGACAGGTTTTCACTATGTTGGCCAGGCTGGTCTTGAACTCCTGACCTTGTGATCTGCCCACCTCGGCCTCCCAGAGTGCTGGGATTACAGGCATGATCCACCGTGCCCAGCCACAAATACAATTATTAAAAGGGATAAGGCAGTTTCAAATGAACAGATATGAAATGACCCCAAACACCTATCTTTCAGTGTAAAAAGCAAGGTAGAATAGCGGGCTTAGTGGGTAACCATTGTGTTACAACACCAGAAGATATACAATACACCTGTATGTGCACAGATTATCTGTGGAAGGATATATAAGAAACTAGTAACAGCACTCTCCGGAAATGTAGGCAAGACACTGGTGAGAGAGAAACCTCTTTCTCATGTTACTTTCTAGACCTTTTGAATTTTATACCAAGAGGGTATATTCCTTCTTAAAAAATAGAAGACAGAAGAAAAAAAAAGGAAAGGAGAAGTCAAAGAAAGAGAAGAGGCGTGGCAGAACATAAATACAAAGAAGGAATTGTTTGCCTGACACAGAAAAACAACCTAAACACTGTCTCCAACTAGTTGTCTCACTGAAGTTCTCTTTGAAGTGCCTAGAAGATCTCATCTCTATCTTCTAAAATCCAGTTTGCTTTAATTTTTCATTGTCTCTGCTTGTTGTGGGTTTAGATGTGTCCCCCTCAAAAAATATATTTTGAATTTCTAACCCCCGAGTATCTCAGAATGTGACCTTATTTGCAAATAGGGTTTTTACAGAGGTAATCAACTTAAAATTATGTCATTAGAGTGGGCTCTAATTCAATATGACTGATGTCCTTATATAAGGAAAATCTGAAAAGGAGGTGAGACAGAGGAGAAAGATGATGTGAAGACACACAAAAGAAGGAATAAGACAAACATCTAGAAGTCAAGGAACACCTGAAGCTATGAGAGGCAGAGTGGAGAGGAAGAGAGAAAGAGAGAGGGAGAGACCTGGAACAGATCCTTCCCTAGTATCTTCAGGGAGCACAATTTTGCCAACACCTTGATTTTGGACTTCTGGCCTTCAGAACTGGAATACAATCAAGTTCAGTTGTTCTAAGCCATCCAGTTATAGTAGTTTGTTATAGCAGCTCTAGGAAACAAATATATTAATCTATCCTACTCTCTCTGTCTTCCCCCCCAAAATTTTTTAATCGACATTCCCCTATTAAAAGATGAAAATAAGAGGAGGAGAAGAAAAATTCATAAGTCATAAAGAACATGCCTGACTACATGATATTAAAATACTTCTCTATGGAAAAAAAAACAAAAAGACACAAATTAAATGACATTCAGTAAAGATATTTGCAAATACTATCACAGAAATATTTTAATTTCCTTATTTATTAGCAGATTTTAGATTAAAAAAAATTAAAACATCCATTGTTGTCACTAAAAATGTCTCAATAAAGTACCTATTAAATGTCTCATTTTAACCCATGTGACTTACCTAGTATGCTAAGACAACCTAATTAAAAATTACTCCTTTACATACTATAGGTACTTAAGATAATTAGCTACAAAGTAGCTACAAAAATATCTACCAAAATGCTGGTTTTACTTCAGAAAAGTTGAGACATATTTTTTTTTCTCACAGTAGTCTAGTGCATAAAAATAAAATGTCCAAAAATTTATAATAGAGTATACATGAATATGATGGTTTTAAAACAGATGTAAATCCTTTTAACTCTCTTCCCATTGAGAAGTGCAGTCTATTGCTCCTTTCCTTATTCCTGGGAGACCCGTGATCGATTCTACCAATAAAGGATGGTGGAAGTGACACTGCAACTTCTGAGGTGACACTATGCAAAGACCACTTGGTGTGCAACTTCCACCTTGCTTTGCTGGAATACTTGGTTGTCATGCGGGAGGTGTTCCTTGAACTGCCATGTTGGAGAGGTTACTTGTAGACACTCGAACCTAAAGTCCTAGCTAAGCTCAGCCTGGCAGCCACATCCACTGAGGTGTCAAATATTGGGTTGGTGCAAACATAAATTGTGGTTTCCGTGTTGTTGAAATTTGCCATTTGATATTGGAATACTACATTCTTTCTTTTGCTTTTTTTTTTTTTCTTTGAAATGAGGTCTCACTCTTGTCACCTAGGCTGGAGTGCAGTGGTGCAATCTCAGCTCACTGCAACCTCCACCTCCTGGGTTCAAGCAATCCTCCTGCCTCAGCCTCCCAAGTAGCTGGGATTACAGGCATGTGCCACTACACCTAGCTAATTTTTGTATTTTTAGTAGAGACAGGGTTTCACCATGTTGGCCAGGCTAGTCTCAAACTCCTGATCTCAGGTGATCCGACTGCCTTGGCACCTCAAAGTGCTGGGATTTCAGGTATGAGCCACCATGCCTGGCCGATATTGGAATACATTCTTAAACAAATGTAATTATGTTGTATATCATGTTAATGCACATTTCTTGCTTTATGGTTTTTTTTTTTTTTTTGGCCAACGAATTATTACTTGCTCTTTATTTTGTATTTAATTTAGACTATGGAAATGGTGTTAGATAAAAAGCAAATTTGAGCAGTTTTCTCATTCAAGTTCAAAATGGGTCATAAAGCAGCAGAGACACCTCATAACATCAACAATGCAGTTGACCCAGGAACTGCTAATGAATGTAGAGTGCAGTGGTGGGTCAAGAAGTTTCACAAAGGAGATGAGAGCCTTGAAGATGAGGAGCATAGTGGCTGGCCATTGGGAGTTAATAATGACCAATTGAGAGCAATCATCAAAGCGAATCGACTTAGAACTACATGAGAAGTTGACGAGGAACTCAGTGTTGACCACTCTACAGTCATTAGGCATTTGAAACAAATTGGAAAGATGAAAAAATTTCGATAAATGAGTGCCTCGTGAACTGAGCAAAAATAAAAAAAATGATCATCATTTTGAAGTGTCACCTTCTCTTATTCTACACAACAATGACGAACCATTTCTCCGTCGGCCTGTGACATGCAATGAACAGTGGATTTTATACAATGACCAGGTCAGTGGTTGAACTGAGAAGAAGCTCCAAAGCACTTCC